GCATCCTATATTTCGCCCACAAAATATACAGTCAATTCACTTTACAGTATATTCTGTGAAACGCTTTGAGGGCTCTCAAAGACGTGATAAGGCACTATAATTAAATTCAAGGATTATTTATTATTATTATTCTGGCTTTGAGCGCCTTCCTGGTGACCTGTTCCACTTGTTATAGGATTGACTGAGCGACGAGTGTGCCAGACTGGTGATTTTGCCCTTTGCCTTGTGTGTGTGTTTGTGTAGATGTCATGTCACCCAGAGCTGAACCAGTACATCCAGGACACGCTTCACTGCATCAAACCTCTGATTGAGAAGGTGAGATCTCATCTCAATGTGTCTGTGCGTGAACTTAGACTTAAAGAGGATGAACGGATTTATCTCAACTTTTTTGTTGATAATTACAGCTGTAGTGTATCGACAGCAATGGCTTACACCCTGTAACGTGTGACATGTAACTGTGCTCCTGTGTTTAGAACGAGGTGGACCGTGTGGTTGTGATGATCCTGGATAAAGAGCATCATCCAGTGGAACGCTTTGTGTTCGAGATCTCTCAGCCTCCGCTGCTTTCTGTCAGGTTAAACGTCCTCGTGTTTCCCAAGCGCTTGTTCTGGTTTCTGAAGTTGCGATACTCTAGGCCACGTACTCGGATTGACCAAGTTTTGTTCAACAACAACAACTTGCATTTATATAGTGCCCTTCACGCTGGACGGTGTCTCGGAGTGCTTTCAGTGCATGGAAAGCGTGTTTCAATCTATGTAGCGTGTTTGAATTAACCCGGGTTTAACATAGCAGTGGTTTGGAATGTAAATGTTAAATTTTTACAGTATTTTGTTGCCACATTTGCAGACGTTCTTTCTTCCATCCTGGTTGGGTTGGGCAGGGTTTATGCTCACAAAATATACAGTCAATTCACTTTAAAATATATTCTGTGAAGTGCTTTGAGACGTCTCAAAGACATCATAAGGCGCTATATCATGGAGTCCTGTAGCTCAGTGGTTAGAGCACTCGCTTTGCAAGCGAGAGACCTGAGTTCAATTCCAGGCAGAGGGCGAAACCTTGGGCAAGTTTCCTTACTCCACACAGAGCCTAATAATAATCCCTCCAAAACCCAAAACAATAATAAATTGGTCATTTTCAATCTACGACTGTTTGTGGGACATTGCTGTGCGCAATTGTCTGCCACGTTCGCCCACAAATATACAGTCAATTCACTTTACAGTGTGTTCTGTGAAGCGCTTTGGGACGTCCTCCTAACTTGAAAAGCGCTATATCAAAATGCAAGGATTATTTTATATCAAATGCAATGGATTAGTATCATTATTATTAACCACACAATAAGCCAAGTACTCAGTGGTTACTGCCTCTAGTCTATACTTCATGGTTCAGACAGGGAGATTCTTGTGACATTAAAATGAACTTGATTCACTGAAGTTCAACAACAACAAAAAACGGACAAATTCTCCAACATCTAGGTTGTGATACAGATGGAGCCAGTGATTGCTGACCATCTGGGTCTGAATCGGTTGTTTACTGAAAGTCTGTTGTGTTTTGCAGCTCTGACTCTCTGCTCTCCCACGTCGAGCAATTACTACGAGCATCGATCCTGAAAATCAGTGTCTGTGACGCAATCCTCGAGAGTAACCCACCAGGTAATGAGGGGGAGCGGAGGAGGGGGAGACTGAGAATGAGTGGGAGAGTTGGTGGATCTTTCTTCCCTGTGTGAATCTTGCACTGTTTGGACAGTGTCTGACCCTGGGCTATAGACCCCTTTTTTCCATTGTTCAGTTCGCTGGTTTGGGCAGACTCCTCGATTAATCGCTTTGTTGGTCTCTCAGGTTGCACCTTCACGGTATTGGTTCACACGAGAGATGCTGCCACGCGGAACATGGAGAAAATTCAGGTGATAAAGGTGAGGGTCTCTCTGCTGACTCCAACCCCTCCCCCACTCCCCCCCATTCCTCCTCCCCTCCTTCCCACAGCAGCACATATGTAATTGTATGGTTGTGTTGCTGGGAAGGTGGGGGGGAGAAATCCTAATTGCTTCTCTTTCGCTGGTGCCTCTCGGCGTGCCAAACTCCCTGATGCTGTCTCACAAACCTGCTGTATTTACTGTAGGATTTCCCCTGGATTCACGCTGATGAGCAGGAAGTCAACATGCGAGAACCACGTCTCATCCCATTGAAGACGATGACCTCAGATATTTTGAAGGTATTTATAATAATAAGATTTATCACATTTGATACAGCAACTTTCATGTCAAGAAAGTGTGCCTGAGCTCTTCACACGATTTACTGTGATGTATAGTGACTGTCAGCGAACACTCACAGATCACCACCTCCAGGAGCCAAATGTTACATTCTCCATGTTGATCTTCCGAGACCAATATTTTGCTTCACTCGTGCCATACAAACAACAATCATTTCCATTTAAGGGTTAGGGTTTACAGTGTTTCCTGTAGCTTCAGTTAGAGCACTCGCCTCACAAGCGAAAGGACCTGGGTTCGATTCCCAGACAGGGTGAAATGCTGGGCAAGTTTCTTTACTCCACACACCTCTGTTTACCTAACAGTAAGTAGGAACCTGGTTGTTAGTTGATTGGGGGGATCACTTTTTCGGGAATAATAATTTCTTCATCAACAAATAATATTCATGGTAAATTGGTCACTCAATCTACAACTGTTTGTGGGACACTGCTGTGCGCAATTGGCTGCCGCGTTTTGCCCAAAAAACATACAGTGAATTCACTTTACAATATACTCTGTGAAGTGCTTTGAGACGTCTAGAAGACTTGATAAGGCGCTATATGAAATGCAAGGATTATTATTATTATGGAGCAACATGGGAAGGTCTCCAGGCACAGTTGAAGCAATAGGTTTATAAGAGACGCTGAAAACCGGAAGCAAAGGCAAATGGGTTTTCGAAGGAAATTCAGAGGACTTGGCTCTACTGTTTGCGAGTAGGTGAATGAGGTTCTGCCAGCCAGAGGCTGAGGCTAATTTGCTTGTTCCCTTTCACCTCTGGGAGTTGTTGTGGGAATGTTTGGTGATGAGTGTTATTCATAACTGTGAATTGAACTGCAATTGAGGGACGAAGTTTGTTACTGATTATGACATCCATTCTGGTGCTCTAAGCTGTGACAAGATGATTCTTTACTGTTAATGGTGCTCCATTGAGACTGGTGCTTTGGGCATTTTATCTACAGCAGAAAATGCACAGTTGAATCCTACAAACCAACCACCAGTCTATATTGGATTGTGTGAGGCATCACTTAATGTCCGTTTGATTATTTGTTTTATTTACTCTTTTAAAGATGCAATTGTACGTAGAGGAGAGGGCTCAGAAAGCACCCTGAGTTTGGTCAGAAACAAACAGGACCCTGTGTGGAGAGAAGCGTCACAGACACTGCTTTTCCTGAAATGAGAACCTTTAGAGCCAATTATCATATATGAGGAGCTTCATCTTGTGGGCAGATCAGTGATCGCAGCAAAGTAGCCCAGTCTATTGACTGCCTTCAACAACAAGTTTGCATTTTTGAAGACAGTGTCCAGAATGGAACATTTAGGAGTTGTGTTTAAACCTGTTTGGCACAAAATCATTGTGTTTTAGCTGAAACGATGTATCCTGTGTTTTACATTGATTGAGGAGGTGGTAATGTGTATAAATGTGGGTTAAAGTATGTAATAAAGTTAGTTATCTCCTCCATTGTTAAGTTTTGCTCCTCATGATGTGCTCAATAGATGGGCAATGGGTAAAAGCTGTGACTTTTTTAGTGTTCATTGGTGTTATTTAACTGATCTTTTAATGTATTGTACTAAATGGCCAGAAGTTGGCAGCACGCACTAACCTCTGCTTCAGATCAACTTTCACCATTTCATTAAAAGTTTACACAAAGTGAGGTGGCTGGGTTTGAGACTGAATAAAAATTACATCAGTACGAAAAACAGTTTGGGGCTTATATTTTGCTGCTGTTTGGCATTTCTTATGGGGAAGAATGGGAAAAGGCGGAGGATAGAGGAAGAGTGTTCCAGAGTTTCGGGACGTAGTGATTAAAAGTGCAGCCGCCAATGAGGGCACGGAGGGCACGAGGATCATGCAGAAGGCCAGAGTCAGTTGATCGGGGGCTGTAGGTTGGGGGTTAAGCAGGTCGGAGAGGTCGGGAGGTGTCAGGGCATGAGGGGATTTGAAAAAGAGTGACGATCTTGAAATCAAGCAATTCAGCGAAAGAGCCACTGGAGCCCGGCCAGAACTGGTGATGGGGGTATGGAGTCCAGTGTGGGTGGGGGGTTTGGGATGCGCTGGATCCTGTGCATGGTTCAGCTGAGGAGATCTTTGAAGAGGACATTTGAAAAGTCAAGTCGGGAACTGACGTGTGTGTGAAGGGGAGGAGCTGTGGGTTTGGAGGGGAGGAGCTGTGGATGTGTGGGGGGAGGAGCTGTGGATGTGTGGGGGGGCGGGCCTGTGGCTGTGGGGGGAGGGGCTGTGGCTGTGGGGGGCGTGGCTGTGGCTGTGGAGGGCGGGGCTGTGGCTGTGGGGGGAGGGGCTGTGGCTGTGGGGGGCGGGGCTGTGGCTGTGGGGCGGGGCTGTGGCTGTGGGGGGCGTGGCTGTGGCTGTGGAGGGCGGGGCTGTGGCTGTGGGGGGAGGAGCAGTGGGTGTGGGGGAGGGCTCTGGCTGTGGGGGCGTGGCTGTGGCTGTGGGGCGGGGCTGTGGCTGTGGGGGGCGGGGCTGGGGCTGTGGGGGCGGGGCTGGGCTGTGGGGGCGGGGCTGTGGCTGTGGGGGAGGGGCTGTGGCTGTGGCTGTGGGGGCGGGGCTGTGGCTGTGGGGGCGGGGCTGTGGCTGTGGGGGGCGGGGCTGTGGCTGTGGGGGCGGGGCTGTGGCTGTGGGGGGCGGGGCTGTGGGGAGGGGCTGTGGCTGTGGCTGTGGGGGCGGGGCTGTGGCTGTGGGGGGCGGGGCTGTGGCTGTGGGGGCGGGGCTGTGGCTGTGGGGGCGGGGCTGTGGCTGGGTGTGGGGGAGGGGCTCTGGCTGTGGGGGCGGGGCTGTGGCTGTGGGGGGGGGGCTGTGGTGTGGGGGGGGCTGTGGCTGTGGGGGGCGGGGCTGTGGGGAGGGCTGTGGCTGTGGCTGTGGGGGGGGGTGTGGCTGTGGGGGGAGGGGCTGTGGCTGTGGGGGGCGGGCCTGTGGTTGTGGGGGCGGGGCTGTGGTTGTGGGGGCGGGGCTGTGGTTGTGGGGGGCGGGGCTGTGGTTGTGGAGGGCGGGGCTGTGGCTGTGGGGGCGGGGCTGTGGCTGTGGGGGGCGGGGCTGTGGCTGTGGTGTGGGGAGGAGCTGTGGCTGTGGGGGGCGGGGCTGTGGTTGTGGGGCGGGGCTGTGGCTGTGGGGGCGGGGCTGTGGGGGCGGGGCTGTGGCTGTGGGGGGAGGAGCTGTGGAGCTGTGGGGGCGGGCTGTGGCTGTGGGGGCGGGGCTGTGGCTGTGGGGCGGGGCTGTGGCTGTGGGTGTAGGTGCTGCCGCCTGTTGGCCGCTCAGTGTCTGACACGATGCCCCGCGCCCTCAGGATGGCCGCCGTCTACCGCCCGCGCACTGTCCTCGGGACCATGGAGTTCGGGAGGCGGGCGGACGCCGCGCAGAGCGCCGCCATGGTGTCGGCCTTCACCCGGGCCGGGCACTGCGAGCTGGACGCGGCCTTCATGTACTCGGGCGGCGAGACGGAGCGGATCCTGGGCGGCCTGGGGCTGGGACCGGCAGGTGAGAGGCCCCGGGAGGGGGGGGAGGCCCAGGCCAGGCCCAGGCCCAGCCACGCCCACAATCCCCCCCCCCACCGCCCCCATAACAACAACAACAACAACAACAATAATAATAATAATAATCCCTTCAAAAAATATCTAAAATAATAATTTGGCCACTCAGTCCCGCGGCTGTTTGCGGGGACACTGCTGTGCGCAATCCATCGGCCGCCGCGTTTCGCCCACAAGATGTACAGTCACTTCGCTTTACGGCGTATGTGTGTCCCCGCGAAGCGCTTCGAGAGGTCTCGGAGACGGGCGAAGCCGCGGCGTCACATTTCAAGCCTTGTCATTGTATTGGGGGCTCCGGTTCACCTTTGTGGGGGCGTCTCTCGAGAGGAGCAGTGAGTCACCTGAAGTAACCGCACACGTCATGATCACTGTATCAAGATTGAGGGCAGTGTGTGGGGGGGGGGTGGGGGGGGCTGTCACAGGCGGCGTTTAGACGGCGTAAGCGCACGCACGGGGGGCCCTGAGTCGCTCGGGAGGCCCCAGCGGGTCCAGTGATCAGGGATCGTGACATCGTCCAGTGTAGGGGCCCCCAAACCCACACTTTCCACGAAAGCCAGTGATAAGTCCTTTGATGATTCCGTTGGAATTCCTCTTTGTGGAGTCCTGTAGCTCAGTGGTTAGAGCACTCGCTTTGCAAGTGAGAGACCTGAGTTCAGTTCCAGGCAGAGGGCGAAACCTTGGGCAAGTTTCCTTACTCCACACAGAGCCTAATAATAATCCCTCCAAAACCAAAAACAATAATAAATTGGTCATTTTCAATCCCCGACTGTTTGTGGGACATTGCTGTGCGCAATTGGCTGCCCGCGTTCGCCCACAAATATACAGTCAATTCACTTTACAGTATATTCTGTGAAGCGCTTTGGGACGTCCTCCCGACGTGAAAAGCGCTATATCAAATGCGAGGATTATTATTATTATTATTATTTATTTATTGTCTCCCAGTGAAAATTGCAACAAAGGTGAATCCGTGGGACGGGAAAACACTGAAGCCGGAGAGTGTCCGAAGCCAGTTCAAAACCTCTCTGGAGCGACTGCAGCTGCCAAGTGTGGACGTGCTGTACCTACACGCTCCCCGATCACGAGACACCGGTGGAGGAAACCCTTGCGGCTTGTCACGAGCTTTACCAGCAGGTGTGGCCGGCAATTTTTCAGAGTTGAGTTCAGTCACAAATCCGTGCGAGTTATTAATTTGATAATACTGATAATTCCTTCAAAATAATAATAATTTGGTCACTTCAATCCCCGACTATTTGTGGGACGCTACTGTGCGCAATTGGCTGCCGCGTTTCGCCCACACGACAGACAATTCACTTTACAATATATTCTGTGAAGCACTTTGAACCGTCTTGAAGACGTGATAAGGCGCTATATCAAAGGCAAGGATTATTATTATCATTATGGATGTGTGCAACAACAACTTGCATGAATATAGCGCCTCTCTCGCAGGTAGCATCCCAGAAAGCTTAACAGTGGCTGAGCACAACGCCAAGCCAGGGGAGGGGGGAGGTGACCGTAGTAACAGCTTCCAGTATTTGGTAGAACTCTCGTCTCTGGATCAGAAGGGGTTTCCGATCCCATATCCAGAGCTCACAGTCGAGGCTTATGCTCAGAGCAGAGCCAGAGGAACGCTGAATTGTTCCTGAGGTCCCATTTGCCTGTTGTCGTGGATATTAAAGATCCCATGCCTGAGAAAAGAAGTTTCTCTTATGTTGAGTCCTCCAGATAAATTCATTTTGGCTGTTTGTGGATATTGGCCACTACATTTGCCTAAAACAAGTTACAACACAGCAAATGCTTTGAGCCATTTTGACTTTAAATTCAGGGAATATTGTTTTGCCATTAGGAGAGAGAACACTGCAGCAAATTCTGTCAAGTGTGGACATGCTGTACCTACATGATTTTTTGTTAATACGATTTTTTTTAGGGGAAGTTTAAAGAACTCGGCCTCTCAAACTATGCTTCCTGGGAAGTGGCAGAAGTTTACTCTATCTGTAAACACAATAAGTGGGTTCTTCCCACAGTCTACCAGGTACGTCAGCAAGTTACAAAGTCACGCATTTGTCACATAGTGAATTTGGTCATTTATTTTCCACATTATTATTATTTCTCCTGTTGCGGCCTACGCAACACCGCTTCCCAGCCCACACAGACATGCTGGAGACCTGCACTGCTGTTGGTCTGTAACTGTTGGTCTAGACTCGAGAGCCTTCCAGCAGAAGCCCTAGTGATGAGAGTTTGTCTGCGCTTGGCAGTTTCAACATGGGAGAGATTGAGAACAACATGAAAAATAGCAAACCACTCATCCGTGGCATCAGCCCAATAAATCTCCTATATGGGGTGAAGAAAACTGGACACAATACTCTAACTGAGGTCTAATGAATAAGCTCCCTTCCTGATTGGAATGCAATCCACTAGAGATGCGCTGGAGTCGAATGGTGTTGTTTTCTCCACCCCCACTAACAAAAGAGATTAGTATAATTCCTGCTGCCCATCAGACTGGACATTGGCAGCTTGGTGCTAGGTTGAGTGGCGATCCTCCATGGACAAAAGAATATTGGTCCAGTGGGTCTGGTTTGTGTTTGCAGGGAATGTACAACTCCACAACTCGCCAGGTAGAGGTCGAGCTCCTTCCCTGTCTCCGGCACTTTGGCATCAGATTTTATGCATACAACCCCCTCGCAGGTAAGGTGCGCTCCAGGTAAAGTAAAGGGAGGGGTAGCTACAAAAACAATTTGCATTTACAAAGCGTCGTTCATGTGGGTTTGCGTCTTGGAGCACTTGTTACAACAGAGAATCAGTGATATTATCGTTGAAATAAATTTCTCCTGAATTACGAATGCTAACTATCTTATTGAGCTTGTCTGCTTGACTGGGAATGTGATGCTTGGGTAGGTAGAGAGTAATCCGGGAAGTACCCCACACGAAGGGCGTTATATAAGCTATATAGCATTTAACTTGCTACCAACCTGCCTACTCCCTCTGCTCAGCGGGCTCCGGCAAGAGCCCCACCTTGCCCACCTCGGTGGGTGGGCCTTCTGCCACTCTGCCCCCACCTTCTGGATCTCCATCCCGCAGTCCCTCTGCCTTGCCTCCTTCAAGACCCATCTCAAGAGCCTCCTATTTAACCGTGCCTTCAGTCACCCTCCTTCCCCACTGCCCTCCACCCTCCCCGTTCCCGAACCCCAGCTTGGGTCTGAAACATTGATTCTCCAGCACCTTGGGACGTCCTCCCTATGTGAAAGATTCTATACACATGTAATTTTGTTGTTTTTTGTAGTCCAGAGCTAAGACAGCAGGTTAGGAAAACATGAAGTGGATTATTTAGTGCATTAGATCCCATTTCCCTGCCTTTTCTCCATCTCCCTGTTAAAAATCTGATCTGAATTGATTCTGACCATACCACCTTGTGCATTTCACATCCTCACAACCCATCTGAGCAAAGAAATGTTTTTTGACCTCACCTTTCAACAGTTCCAGGCTCCATCAGTGCCAATCTCAGAGATGCCTGAAGGGTTTGAATTGATTAAAAACCACATAAGGAGAATTATTCAACTCCTGTTACTTTCACACCTGTTTCAAATGAGAGAATGAGTCATCACCCAACCACTGGGAGATTTGCAGAAGGGAAATGAAGGTGGGGTTTGATGTGGGCACTGAGCAGATCTGTGTTGTCTTATCTGGGATTCTCTGCTCTGGGCAGGTGGGCTGCTGACTGGGAAATACCGGTTTGAAGATAAAGATGACAAGCAGCCGGCTGGCCGATTCTTTGGCAACAATTGGGCGGAGGCGTACAGAAAGAGGTGGGCTTCCCTCTTCCCACTATCAGCCTCTCTGCCCCCACCCTCTGTAATCATCCCACACTCCCTCCGCCTCACTCCATCCCTTCCTCCTTCAAGACCTGTCTCAATACCCTCCTTTTCAACTGTGCCTTCGACTACCCTCCCCTCTCTCCATCCCTCCTGATCCCAACTACTAGCTCGGATGTGGACCCCTTACAGTCCAGCGCCTTGGGACATCCTCCTGACATGAAAGGTGCTGCGTAAATCTAATTTGTTGTTGTTGCTCGCCGGGCCATGACAATGATGGTGTTAGCAGGGAGGTGTCTGGCTGCAGGAGCCAAGCTCCACAGCTACTGTTGTGGCTTTCTCTTTGAATTATGCTGTTTCTTCACTGAATCCCTGCTCAGGTACTGGAAGGAGGAGCATTTCCGAGCCATAGACTTGGTCCAGAAAGCAATCGATGCAGCCTGTAGCCCGAAGAAGCTGAGCCTGACATCTGCAGCCTTGCAGTGGATGTACCATCACTCCAAGCTCCAAGTATGTTAACCTGAAATTATCATGGGGCCGTTCAAAGAGAACTCGTGTGAGATGGCAGTAAACAGATCCGTAGAAATCATCTCAAATTATACAGTGTGGTCAGTCTGGTTATACTGTATTAGTCGGGTCAAATGTCAACTCAGAAAATATCTTCAGACACATCGACACAGCTGGATAGGAGGCAGAGCTTAGGAGAGAAACAGGGAAGCATTTGAGAACTTTTATAAGAAATATTCTTGAAGCTATTGTGGAAAGGTGTCAGTGTGGGTTTTCTGGAAGGATGAGATCAAGTAGTTTGAAGGGTCTTCTTCATTTGCACCGTCTCTGTGATTGGTGTGGGGTGGGGGTAGGTGAAAGTGGAAAAATCTGCTGTGTAAATGTCGATAAGAGAATTATTCCCGTTTCATTATGTGTAGAGCCCTTAGGAGCAGAGCAGTTCTCCTCTGGGTCTCTGCACTTCCCAGGGGCCAGCATTTTCCCGGTTAAATGGGGTGTATTCACTTCTTGGTAGCATGTGTTTGATGCCTGTTTCTTTCTTCATTGGCGGGTGGGCCTTCAACCTCTCTGACACTCCCCCGCCCCCAGAATCCATCCCATAGTCCCTCTGTCTGGTCCCCTCCCTTGCCTCCTTCAAGACCAGTCTCAAGACCCTCTTCGGCAACCGTGCCTTCTGTCACCCTCTTACCCCTACCCTCCACCCTTCCTGATACAAATTACCAACTCGGGTGTGGATCAGACTGTCCAGCTCCTAGGGACGTCCTCCTGACGTAAAAGGTGCTACACAAATGTAATTCGTTTGTTTCTTCAGGGAGACCTTGGCGACGGGGTTGTCATTGGAGTTTCCGGCTTAGAACAACTGCAACAGAACCTGGCTGGATCAGAGGAAGGGCCCCTCCCCCCAAGTGTGGTTGAGGCATTTAATGAAGCTTGGATGCTGGTGGCCCACGACTGCCCAAATTACTTCCGCTAGAAATGCTGTGTCTGCGAGGCAGAAATACATTCATATGCTTTGGGAACCGTCATAGAAAAACAAGTGCTGATACTTGAGTGATTAGCTGATAAACCCTTCAATCAGAGAGGGTCACGTTTCTCTTATTAATTCCGAATGATTTGTTAACAGGAGCTGAGTGTGGCGGTTTTAGATCACCGAGCCTCAAACACAGCAGCGATTTTGGTTTGTTTGACTTGTGCCTAGAGAGCTCAGGCTCCTGCGGAAGACTACAATAGAACAGTGAGGATTAATAATATTCCTTGCATTTAATATAGCACCGTATCATGTCTTCGAGACGTCTCAAAGCGTGTCACAGAATTACACTAACTGTCGCCTGCCAAATCCAGCAATTCTTTACTAGGGTGTGAAGCACGTTGGTCTACAAGGAGAATCACTTCAGGACGAAGTGTGAGTACAGCATTTCCCTTAGCTCCTGCTGTTACCTGGAGGGAATATGTGAGTTTGAGTTGGTGTTAATGCGAGATATTGGGAGTCCTCGTAGCTTTGTGGTTAAGGCACTCGCCTCACAAGCGAGAGGACCTGGGTTTGATTCCTGGGCAGTGCGAAACATTGAGCAAGTTTACTTGTAACAGAATAAAAATATTTAATAATTAACAGAACTTGTGCACCTGTAAAAGAGAAATAAATCCCACTGTCACCGTGGATTACACTTTAAACGGCAGCGTCTGATGGACTTTGTACAGTTGGGTTCCCTTCAGTGGCAGAGGGGAGGTGAAGCCAGACTCGTTTACATTCATTTCCCCACTTAGTGAATGGTGGTATCCGAGCTCCATCTCAGTAACCGAGGCTGCAATAGTTTTACACTTTATTTAGAAATCCAAGGTTCAGTTACATATTGTCCATGAGTTCAGGCTTTGATGTTCCAAGCCAGTGCTGTCATCACTTCTCTTCCTCCTCCATCTTATCACTGCTTTTCTCACTTTCATCCATCGCTGCCAGTTTCTCAAAGACCCCCGTCTCCGAGTTCCACATACAGCTTATTGTCACTTTGAATTCAGCCATTTCCAGTCCCAGCAGTTTCTGCAAAGAGATCGAATCGAACATGAGCTGAAATTGGCTATTTGGCTAAACAGAAACTTACAATTGCTCATTGATCTGCTAGCCCGTTTCCTGCACAGCGAGGGGGTTACTCACCAGCAAACGAGCCTGTTCAGGGTCAGAATATCTCCCGCTTTACACACGTCATAGTCAGACAATAACACCACAACACCTGTAACGAGAAGAGTGGTTACTCCATATTGTGCAACTTTATGGAGTCCTGTAGCTCAGTGGTTAGAGCACTCGCTTTGCAAGTGAGAGACCTGAGTTCGATTCCAGGCAGAGGGCGAAACCTTGGGCAAGTTTCCTTACTCCACACAGAGCCTAATAATAATCCCTCCAAAACCAAAACCAATGATAAATTGGTCATTTTCAATCTACGACTGTTTGTGGGACATTGCTGTGCGCAATTGGCTGCCGCGTTCGCCCACAAATATACAGTCAATTCACTTTACAGTGTGTTCTGTGAAGCGCTTTGGGACGTCCTCCCGACGTGAAAAGCGCTATATCAAATGCAAGGATTATTATTATTATTATTAACTCTTCCAGCCCAGCGCAGATCTGTGCTGATCACAGCCCAGAGTGTTCTGTACCTTTCTTCAGTGAGGTTGGGAGTCCGAGTTGCCGCAGCTGTGGCTCCATGGAGTGTGTAAACTGTGACAGGGGTCCGGCATCCAGAGTCACTGCCATGGTGGCCTGGTTTCCAGATCTGGCAAAATCGTTTTCTGAGAACTGATCAAACCATCTGTGGAGAAGGAAAGAGAGAAAACATCAACATCTAGATAAAATGATCGACAGAAACTGCATAAAGTGAGTGAGGCGCACCGACTGCACAGGGACACAACACTCAGAAACGTACTCAATCACCTCCTCCTTTGTACGACTGGTGAACAAGAGGCCAACTTCACCACTCAGCTCTTTACTGACCTGCAGAAACAGAAAACAAGCAAACATTTAAACTCTGTTCTGAGGTAAGGGTAGGTGGAAACGTACAGCAACAAATTACATTTGTATAACACCTTTCATGACAGGACAACGTCCCAAGTCAGGGATCCACACTCGAGCTGGTGGTTGGGATCAGGATCAACAAGCGCACACTCACCTTGTGTAACCCCTCCTTGTACTCGTCTGCCGGGCCCTTCCCCAAGGCCAACGCCATCACTTTGTTTTTGCCAAAGAAGAACCTAGAGACAAAAACAGAAATCATTTCCTCTCCCTGTCCCCTTCACCTCAAAATTACCACCTGACTCTCGTGTGCCTGTTCTCGGGGGCTGGGTACAGCAAGGCCTGGGTTTTAACTCGAGGCTAAAGGATTACAGGGTGAATGGTTTACCGGCTGTGTTTCCAGGCATTCCGGATGTCCTTCAGTTTGTTGTTTCTCATGTTCTTGATGGAAAAGATGAAGAGATGCTTGTAGGTGTCCACACATTTTCGTAACTTTAAAAACAATTGTAAAACAGGATAAGAAACAAGCTTCGAGAACAGCCGTGGCAGCCATTTTATAGTGGATCAGTCTGAGTGGAGGCTGTAATGCCAAAGACCTATTCACAACAGGAATCAGCACATTCCTGATCACTCACCTGCATACAGCCAGAACAAATCATTTATACATAAAATCTCAAGAATGATTCTAAACCAGCCAAAGTTCACACTTGTTTGTCATGATTAGTTTGTCTTTTGCACTCCCTAGTTATAGAGATGAGAGACAGCTTCTCCTGAGGCCTGCGGGTAAAAAAGCATTGTGTGGCCATGAGCCACGCAGACCTGGAAAGTTCCTGGCCTGTGAAGTGGCGGTGTTACAACTGGCTTAAGAATCCATATGTGAGGGAGAGAAGTCAAACTCACCCAGCATTCACACCACAATGATTGAAGTGTGTTAGTGCACAGTTTGAAAAGGGAGATCTCTCATTGATACACTTTTCTGAGTTACTAGTTAGGGAAATCATGTTTGTGATTTGCCCAAACAGATTCCATTGATTGTCGCTAGTGGGGGCAGAGGTGCATGTTACCATGTCTGTCACCGTGTACACTCACTCACCTCCTCAATCAGGTTCTGTTTGACTTCCAATCCTTTCTTTGCTGTTTTCGTCAGAGAAACTGGAGAAAGAAATTGAGTGAGTGAACGAGCGAGCGCCGATACCTGCCACAAGAGCAGAGGATTAGTACTGAGATGGCTGCTCTGACCTTAACTCCAATAATTGCAAATGTGTGGCATAAAATCTGACATCATGTCAGTGCTGACAGGCTCTGTGCAGAGACAGAGAGAACTGACATAAGCGAAGGTGGGATGGTCCCGGCTGGACAAACATTTAGAAGCTTTTCCAGACTGCGTATTGAATGACAAACTGGGCAATTGTAGCTGGATCCCAGCAGTCAGCCTTAATAATAACGATCCTTGCATTTGACATAGCGCCTTCTCGAGTCGTCTCAAAGCGCTTCACAGAATAATAATAATCCTCGCATTTGATATAGCGCTTATCGCGTCTTCGAGACGTCCCAAAGCGCTTCACGGAGTACACGGTACAGTGAATTGACCGGATATTTTGCGGGCGGAACACGGCGGCCGATGGCGCGCAGCGGGCGTGTGCGCGGAGTGAGGTTTCGCCTGCCCCGGGAACCTGGCCCGTGAGGCGAGCGCACTGACCACTGCGCTACAGGACTCCGCAGCACACGCTCTGGAGTCTCCACCCCCAGAGCCCTGACCTTTGCCAAACCTGTGCCTCACACTGTGTGGACCGAGGCCCTGTGAGGAGGACACGTGTCTGTGGGAGACGCGGTGATGGGCTTCGCGGCCCTGATCGCTGCCCACGTGAGGCGCCCCTCACCCCCACCCCCGGCCCGGCCCTGGCCTTACCTTTCTTGTCGCGCCGGGACCTCGGCATCCTGTACCCCCCGTAACCTCACCAACCAGTGGCCGCTCACCAGCCGCTCCCCAGCGGTCAGGTCGGTCTCTGGCCCCTCATGCTGTCAGGACCTCGAGCCGCCGGGAATTGTGGGAGAATTGGTGACCCACGACGCGCCTGAACCGTCTACGGCAGAAGCCACCGAGAGGTGTCCGGTGCCGCGCGCTCAGCATCAGGCCCGGCGGCTCGCGGGCCCGTTTTTTTTATATATATATATTATTTTTTTAAATTATTATTCCGCTCATGACCTGCCGGTGCCGGTGGGTCCCGGCGCCGCCGGGCAGGCTGGGCTTGGGGTGGGGGCTTAGCTGTGATGGCGGCGCTCTGGCTGTTCGCGCTGCTCGGGCTCGCGGAGGCCATCTACGAGGATCAGGCCGGCAAGTTCGACTGGTGAGAGGGGGAGAGGGCGGGCGGGGGCCTGGGGCCTGGCTACAGCTGGCGATAGGAGGAAAGGCCGAGGCGGAGCGGCCTCTCTCCAGCGCGGCTCAGTGTCGCGGGCCGGGGCCCGGGGTGGGGGGGGCCCTGTGCCTGGGGGGGGGGCCCGGGGACCTGGGGGGGGGGCCCGGGACCTGAGGGGGGGTCTGGGGGTGGGGGGGGGGGCCCGGGGGCCCGGTGGCTCTGGGTTTTTAATAATAATCCCCGCGTTTGACGCCGCGCCTCGTCACGGCTTCCAGACCGTCTCGAAGCGCTTCACGTGGGACGTACTGTCAAAAGTGTAGTGACCGTGTGTTTCGTGGACCCTGTCAGCAGGGTCCCGCGGACAGTCGCGGATTGAGGGACCAGATTTTTTTGGGGGGGAGGTTACACCCCAAGAAAAGCGATCCACTGATCGACTAACAACCGGGTGGGTACCTTCTCGCTGCTCGGTAAACCGGGGGTGTGTGTGGGGAGTAAGGAAATTTGCCCAATATTTCGCTCTGCCCGGGAATCGAACCCAGGACCTCTCGCTTGCTCTAACCGCTGAGCTACAGGAACGAACACGGTGTCGACGGTGAAGCCTGACACTCGCACGTCTGGTGTCATACAGTGCGCGCGTGTGTGTGTGGAGGGGCCTGTGGGCAGGAAGATGGCACCAATGCTCTCACACATTTCATGCCGAGCTGTGTTGCCCACCAGGAAGCTCGCAGGGAGTTTGTGGTACATGCCCCCCCCCTGTGAGGCTTAAACCCGCACTTGTCGGATGTCAACCAACCAACTGGTGACTCTCCTCCGGGGGTGAGCATTGGGCCTGAGTTGGCTTCAAGTTGATGTGCAAGGTGAAACCCTTGGTGACATCATCCGCAGACATGGGGTAAATTACCACATGTGTGCGGATAATCTCTCTGCCTTCACCCTCAACTCCAGGACCACTGCTGTCCTGACCAACTGCCTGTCCAACATCAAGTCCTGGACGAGGGACAACTTTCTCCAGCTGAACGTCAGCAAGACCGAGGCACTCCTGATTGGCTCATGCTAGCGCCTCTGCACCTCGGGCGCTGGCAGCATCAACCTCCAAGGCTGCATCCTCAACCTCACTAAGCCAGTCAGGAACTTATGTGTCTTGTTTGACCCTGAACTGTCCTTTCTCCCCCACATCCGCGCCATGACCAACACTGCCTACCACCACCTCCACAACATTGCCAGACTCCACCACTGCCTCACCCCTCAGGCTTCCGAAACCTTCACCCACGCTCGATTATGGAAATTCCCTCCTCATCGGCCTTCCCAATTCTTTCTTTCGCTGCAGATCATCCAAAACTCTGCAGCTCGTATACTCTCACCCACCAGGCTCCATGACCCCGTCACTCCCACCCTCGCTCGACTCCACTGGCTCCCCATCCCTTAGAGGATCGAATTCAAGATCCTCGTCCTCACTTTCAAGGCCTCTTACTTCTCTGACCTGCTGACTCCCAACCAACCTGCCCGCTCCCTCCATTCATTGGGCTCCAGCCTGCTCCATGTCTCCCGCCCTACTATCGGTGGCCGAGCTTTCAGCCTCTCTGCACCCACATTCTGGAACTCCATCCCACAGTCCCTTCATCTTGTTTCCTCCCTTGCCTCCTTCAAGGCCGGTCTCAAGATCCTCCTCTTCAATGTTGTTGTTGTTTCGATCGTGACTTCGGTCACCCTCCCACCTCTCTGCCTTCCCTCACTCTTACCACACTACACCGCTCTTCCATGCTTGGGTCCTTACCCCTGACTGTCTAGCGCCTTGGGACATCCTCCCGACGTGAAGGACAATCTGTAAATGTAATTTTGTCGTCGTTGTTGTCTTGCCTACCGGGGAGAGTGTCCATTCAATTACAGACACAGGTGGCATAAATGGAACACTAATGCCGTGTCTCCCCCCACAAAATACACAGTCTCTACACTTGACAGTTTATTCTGTGATGCGCTTTGAGATGTCTCAAAAAAGTGATAAGGCGCTATATCAAATGCAAAGATTATTATCTCTGAGTCTCTGTCTGGTTTAGAGACTCTTAAATTATGGGTTTGACGCAGAATAAGGAGTGTTACTAAGGATCTGTTCTGACAATTGTCCAAGTGCTGTTGGCTTCAGTAGGTTGGTTTGATAAACTCGTCTGTTATTATCTGTTTTTAGGAGATGCCAATATGTTGGCAAACCGCAATTTGCGTACTTTGATGCCCCTACGCAAGCCTCTAAAAAGATTGTGGTTGCAACAGAGAACAACGTGATCGCATCGCTTAACACTAGAAATGGGAAAATCTGTGAGTCATCAGAATATGAGAACATTACTTTAAACTTTTCAGGCAGGTTTTAATCTGGAACCGATCTGCTCATTCCAATGTTCTGTGCCTCAAATTCCAGTATGGCGTCAGGTGGACAAAGCAGGTGTTGAGGGGGCCGTGGATCTGATGTTACTCCATGGACAGGGTGAGTGACTCAAAATGTTTTAAACTGATGTGTGCTGTGAGCTTGTAAGGCATAACGGCCAGCTAAGTCTCTGTAGTACTGATGGTGACCAAAGGTTTAGTGCTTGTGCTTTGGGTGCTGTGTGAACTGTCTTCTCTTGATTACTATGCCAGCTGAGGACTTCTTGTTGCACACGTGGCTGCAGCCTGTGTAAATCCCAGGAGAAATCCACTGCTGTAAAAATTTCAGGTTCGTTCTGAACCTGAAAATTCAGCTCATCAATAGAACGGAGTTCTGGCTGCTAAGTTCCTGATCGATGAAGATTCCCGTCCTTAACAGATATTTGGCTGATGTATTATTGTCTCCTCTCCTGGTGTTGCTGGACTGATTGAAGAGTCACATTGATAGTGTGGACAGAGGGTGGAGAGGTGGGAAACTAAAGGGAGAGTAAGCAGCAGAGGGATAAGGATCTCACTCCCATGGGAATTGGTGAATTGATATTGTATGATATTGTGGTGCCAATGATTCATTTTATAGCATAAATTGTATTAAAAATTTATCATTCCTTGCTATTTCTATTTCCTTTCCACAGACGCGCTAACGGTGTCGGGGGGAGGAAGGATGCTGCGCTCCTGGGATACGAACATTGGGGGATTGAACTGGGAGTTTCTGCTGGAACCTGGCAGGTCAGGACCATGTATTTGTAGCCTTCACTGGCAGTTTATTGTCCTCCAAGCTCTCCTGTCATTTTGTTAAAATTTTGTTTCGGTCAATTATTTCCCTTCTCCATCCTTCCTGAAGGCGTTTGACTCACTTTTCTTTCCCATGAGGTCTGGTCTGGTTACATTATAAAAAGACAGTTTTCTGAGACTGAGTTGTAGCCTGAAATCTAATTGAGAGCTTCAAGTGGTTTGTATGTTGAATGACTGGTCCTGGGAGTAAGATCTAGGCTGAAATATATGTGAGTGATTTAGATGTTGAATAAATGAGTAATTTACAGGGAATTAGGCATTGTTTCCTTGTCTCACTCAAATTACGTTTTGTTTTAGTTTTCAGACGGGCTGTTTGGTCGTCTCTGCAGAAGGAGTAAGATTTATCGCAATCGTCAAGAAAGAGTCCATTTCGCTCCATTATCTCTCAAACGGACATCAGAAATGGACGGAGGCTCTACCGGACAGGTGAACGCTGCTGGGTATATTGCCATATGGCGCAGAGGTTTGCACAGCTAACTGTAGGAATGTCTTTGCTAGGCTCAGTGGTTTCTGGATGTGACCCATTTCTTGTTGCCGTTCTGGGAAGCACAGCTATTGCCTCACTTTCAAAGTCCTCTACGGTCTTGCTCCCCCCTACCTCTACGACCTCCTAACCCCCTAACATCCTGTTCGCTCCCTCCGCTCAGCGGGCTCCGTCCTGCTTCACACCCTCCGCCACTTTCAATACCCGTCTCAAGCACCTCTTCTTTGACCGTGCTTTCGATCTCCCTGCTCCCCCCCCCCCCCCGTCCTCCACCCTCTCCCCAGCTCGGGTCCGTAAGTCTGTGTGTCCAGCGCCTTGGGATGTTCTCCCGACGTGAAAAGTGCTTTACACATTTTGTTGTTGTTACTTAAACTGAGGACCTGAGACTGACTGTGCAGTGTGTGCTTCAGCAGTAACAGTAGCAATTGTCTGTTCTTTCATCGCTCTTCGGGGACATAACTCCTTTGAAATTTGGCACTTGATCTGTGGGTGTAAGCAGTTTAACTGATGGTGTGTATGTTTGGCTGTGTGTCTGTCTCTCTGTAGTGAGGGTATCCATTATGAGTTGGTGTATTCAGGAGGAGATGATGCTGTGCATCTGGTAGGAGTGGTTTCTCGTTCTCAACTCCACATCACTACGTATGATGTCGCTGATGGCAAGGTCGTCCGTCAGGTGAGGACAGGAGGTGGCGATGTAGGTACGCTATGATGGGAGTCCTGTAGGTCAGTGGTTAGAGCACTCACCTCGCAAGCGAATGGACCTGGGTTTGATTCCCGGCCAGGGCGAAACGTTGGCCAAGTTTCCATCCTCCTCTGTTTATCTAACAGTAAGTAGGAAACCGGGGGAAATAATCCCTTCGAAACAAAAATAAATTTAAAAAATAATAATAATTAAGTAACTCAATCAGTGACTTTTTGTGGGACACGCTATGCACAATTGACTGCCATGTTTCACCCACAAAATATACAGTCCATTTAAAGTATAATAAAAATAATCCTTGAATTTGATATAGTGCTTTATCACATCTTTGAGATGTCCCAAAAGTGCTTCACAGAATATACTGTAAAGTCAATTGACTGAATATTCTGTGAAGCACTTTGAGACGTCTCAATGACATGATAAGGCGTTGTATTAAATGCAAGGATGATTATGATCAATATTTGACACTAAGAGGAACCAGAGTCTCAGTGTCAACAGTTTCCGCTCTATTCTGTTAATTTGCTTCTCTGCTGCTTCTGGGATGTCTTTCCGACGTGAAGGGGGCTATACAAGTCTAACTTGTTGTTGTTGTTGCTGATTTCTTCTGAAGATTTCCTTCGAAACCTCCTGGATCCAGCACCTGAAGGACCTTTGTGGGGTTATTGGGGAAGGAATCCTGGCTTGTGTGGACTCGGAATCCCACTCCCTTCATCTCCTGCCTCTGCAATCAGACCAGGAGCCTGTGCAGATTGCACTGCAGGTAGTTTGGAGTTTACAGAAATCAAAGATATAAATCTAGACAATCGAGTGGAGTCAAATGTAAGTTGTTGACTATTTTACTTTCTCTTTATTCCTGGTCTGTAGTCTCTGGATCTGAAGCTGGATGAAGGGTTTAAGGGAAAGATTGTCACCACACAGCCATCACCAATGGGGGCTGCTGGAGCTCAGTTCTTCCTGCATTTATCAGACACCAACGGTGTGCTGCTGCAGCTCCGCCACATGGCCCTCAGCTCTCTGCGCAAGTTTGTCCAGGTTAGTCACCGCTCTGTTCAGTGCTCGGGTGCCACAGACAGGTATCTCGCGTATCCTGCTTTCCGCCCTCCCACACACACAAACCCCCCCGTCCCCCACATACAACCACTCCACCCACACAAACCCTCCCCCCACACAACCCCTCCTGACCCCACCAACGCTCCCCACCCACACGCCCTCCGCCCACCCACACAGATATGAAGCACGATAGATGTTATACACAGCATTGAATTACCGATCACTGGCTGACTCTTAACCCTTGCTTTCAGGACTTACCAGCTGTTACTAGATATACTGCATTAATTCAGTGTTTGGGGGAATTAATTATCAGCGTCCCTCCCACCGGCCCGCCTGGGATCGGTTAGCTCAGTTCCCATAAGCTGGGATTCACTGGGTGACTTCACTTTCTGTGTGGTTCAGTTTCAGACACCAGGGAAATGGCTTTACTGACAGCTGTTTAGGGGAAGTGTTGCTCCTGTAGAGCCTTTGTAGCTGTAGTGTGTTGTGAGGGGTTAATCCTTCTATCTCTTGCAGGCTTCACTGATGTCTTTCGCTACGACTGGTGATAAAACAGTGGCGGCTGTGATGACAGCTAAGAACAGAACGGTGAGGCCCAAAGAGGGAAGTGTTCTGTAGAACAAACTTTTCCACATATTTCGCTTCGCCCATCAAATATACAGTCACTACAGTATATTACAGTATATCCCTTGAAGCACTTTGAGAAGTCTTGACGATGTGATAAGACGCTATATCAAATGCAAGGATTATTATTATATTCTTAGACTGATGAGAGCAGCAGTGGCACTGAGGGAGAAATTAGCACATGTTCTAATAGTTGATTGGAATTACGACCCTAAACATAGGGTCATAAGCAACTCAATTTCAAATCAATATGTGTGTCGCTAGTGTGTGTGTGTGTGTGTGTTGCTGGCACATGTGTGTTATTGTATGTGTTGCTGACACAGACATGTTCTCACAGGCTCCCTTCAGAGCAGCTATCTGATACTATGCTGCTTCCAGGATAAACTCACACAGAGCCAGAGAGGACAGTGGCTGATTTGGGTTATGTTTTGTTTCTGTTCAACAGGCTTTCAGCATTAACCTGTACTCAGCAGAGAATGGCCGATGGTTACTGGATACGGCCATGGACTTTTCCCTGAACCCACATGTTGGCAGCCCTGAGCAGGTGAGGGGGAAATGGGAGGGGCTCTGATTCGCAAATTATACCCCCCCACAAGGTGTAGAGAACTCCACACCCACCCAACCCCCACCCCCCTCAACAGTGTAATGGGGTAGGGTGGCTGAACTCCTTCTGGATTACCTGCATCTCCAGTCCTGGGAAATCTGATCCAACTCAAATTGATGCAGAGAAATTGTGTCTTCTGAAAGGAGGATTGCTTTGCGGCCAGTGGGAGCAAACTCGGGTGTGTAAAATCCCCCGTTACTGCTCTCACTCACTCTGTGTGTGTTCGCTCTCTCTCAGCTCTACATTCAACCATTTCTGAAGAAAGATGATTCTGTGGGATACCGGGCTCTGCTCCAGACCATCGACCACACCCTTACCTACATTCAACAGCCAGGTGTGTGGAAGGCAGGACATAGGCTGGATGTGACAGGCTCACACAGTGAGGCATTCCATCCCCATGCACCCCGGTCCAGGATTTGTTTGCCATATGTGGAGAGCTTAGTAGTTAGAGCACTCGCTTTGCAAGCAAGTGGACCTGGGTTTGATTACCAGGCAGGGCGAAACTTAGACAAGTTTCCTTACTCCCCACGCCTCTGTTTACCTAACAGTAAATAGAAAGTAGAAGTTAGTCAATTGGTGGATTGCTTTTCTGGGGGTAATAAAAATGAATCATAAGAATTTGGTCACTCAATCCACGACTATGTGTGAAACACTGTTGTGTGCAATTGGTTGCCGTGTTTTGCGAATAAAACAGTCACTACACTTTACAGTATATTCTGTGAAACACTTTGAAACATCTTGAAGACGCGATAAGGCGCGATATCAAATACAAGGATTGTTATTATGATATCAAATGCAAGCATTCTTATCATTATGTGTTCCTGACGTGTGTGCAGAGCCACACTGGAATGTTTAGAGAGTTGAGGATTCTCTGCTCTGTGTAGGTCGCATTGTCTGGACACGGGAAGAGGCGTTGGCAGAAGTTGTTACGATGGAGATGGTGGATCTGCCTCTGACGGGAACGCAGGCCGAGCTGGAGGGCGAGTTTGGCAAGAAAGCAGGTAGTGTGTGACCCTGGAAAAAAAGACCACTCACTTTAGGAAACTCAATTTCCTCTCTCCATGGATGCTGCCTGACCTGCTGAGTATTCCCAGCGACTTCTGTTTTTATTATTGAATATTTAGGAGTTTGTTTGTTTGAATCTGATGAGACTTTTCTGCAGGTGCTTCTCCACAGACAGAGAGCAAGAGGGAGGCTTTGTTCCAGAGAACCAAACCACTTGTACATCATCAGGTGTCACAATGTCCCCTCCCTCTCGACTCCCCCCAACAATTTATCTTCAAAGGGTGCCTAAAAAGCTACCTATTTGACTGTGCCGATAATCCCCTGCCCCCCTCCTGGCTCAGTATCCAGCATTGAGTATAGATCTGTGAGATGTCACTGTGTATCAAAGATGCTGTGTTGAATGTGTAGCCAATTCTCATGGTCCTGTGTGCTCTGTGGTTGAGACGCAGCTTTTAACATGATCTTTTTTCTTTCTGCTGCTGTGGAACCAGCCACACAAGGTAATGGGCTTTCATTGCGCAGATTTCTGTGTCGTTTCTGGGAGGTAACTTGTGTGGCAATGAGAGCTGAAGTGCCTTTCCAGCTCCTTGAGTGTTCAGGGAATTTTTAGTTGCGATGCCGCTCTATAAGTGCTCATTCTTGCCATTGGCTTTCGATGGGGGGGGTGGAGAAACAACAACAAATTGCATTTATATAGTGCCTTTCACTTCGGGAGACGTCCCAAGGCGCTGGACAGTGAAGGATATTGCACACCCAACCGGAGTCTGCACCCTGCAATTTTAATGCAGGTGACCAACTGGTTTATACTTACCGCTCTATGATCTGTCACACATGATTCTATTCTGTCTCTGTTTCCCTGTGTCATTTTTCTCGCTCTGTCTGTTCTCGCTCTCTCTGGACTGTTTCTCCTGCTTGACCACTGGTTGCTTTGCCTGGCAGATGGCCCAATGGGAATGTTTATGAAGCGGATTTCGTCCCAGCTGGTTCTGCTGCAGGCCTGGTGCTATCAGCTGCTGAAGATGTTCTATGATGCGCGGAAACCTCGCAGCCAATCAAAGAACGAAATCACCATTGAGAACCTGGCTCGAGATGAGTTTAACCTGCAGAAGATGATGGTGATGGTGACGGCATGTGGGAAGGTACGGGGAGGGAGGTGTGACCCTGACCCTCAGTTACTGGATGCTGTGTCCAGCTATTTCTACCTTTGTTTCTTGTCTTTGTGGAGTTTTGCAGCTCAGTGGTTAGGGCGCTCACCTCACAAGCGAGAGGACCTGGGTTCGATTCCCAGCAGGGCGAAATGTTAGGCAAATTTCCTTACTCCATACGCCTCTGTTTACCTAGCAGTCAGTAGGAACCCGGTTGTTAGTCGATTGGTGGATTGCTTTTCCAGGGGTAATAACCCCTTCAAAAAATAAATAAATAGTTTGGTCACACAATCCACGACTGTTTGTGGGACACTACTGTGCACAATTGGCTGCGGCATTTCATGGACTAAATATACGTTCAGTTCACTTGACAGTATATTCTGTGAAGCTCTTTGAGACATTTCGAAGACGTGATAATACGCTATATCAAATGCAAGGATTATTATAATTTTCCAGCTCTTTGGGATTGACAGCAGCTCAGGGACCATCCTATGGAAGCATTACTTGGAGAACGTGAAGCCCGGATCCTCCTTCAAACTGGCTGTCCAGCGAACGACAGCTCACTTCCCTCACCCCCCCCAGTGCACGCTGATCATCAAAGACAAGGTTAGTGTCGCTGAGCTGGAGCTAAAGGATTCACTTCTACTTTTCACTCCGACCCCGATTTGTGGTTGGTCTGTCCTCCTCGCGGCCCAGGGCAGTGACCAGAGGCGGTAGTGACTGAGAACATCACCTCGGGCAGGGTTAACGTGTAATTGTGTTCTCTGCTGCTGAGTTTCAATCAGATTCCTGTCCACCCAGTCCTTGCTTCCTTGCTCCACATCCACAAGCTTTGGGTAGCATTCAGGACTTGGGACCCTGGCTGACTTATCTTTCCCCTCGCCACCCCTCCTCCAGCCTGGGGTGAGATTGAGACGTTCTCCTGAAATGAAACTACACATGTAGTTTGTTGTTCTTGAGATTGTCATCTCTGCTCAGAGTAGGTATCGAACTCGAGACTATTGGGGTGTTTTAAAAATCAATTAACCCTTTGACTCCCAACTTTTGCTTTCACCAGGAAACTGGATTGAGTTCTCTCCATGTCTTTAACCCAATCTTTGGCAAGCGAAGTTATGTAACCCCCCCAGCGCTGGACCGGCCCATCCTTCAGTCCCTGCTGCTGCCTATCGTGGACCAAGATTACGCCAAAGTGCTGCTGCTGATTGACGCTGAACACAAGGTAATTTACCTCCTTGATCAAACGTGTATTTGCCTGATGCTTGCTTCACCTGTAGGTGTCCAGTAGCTCAGTGGTTAGAGCACTCGCCTCCTAAGCGAGAGGACCTGGGTTCGATTCCCTGGCAGGGCAAAACATTGGGCAAGTTTCCTTACTCCACACGCCTCTGTTTACCTAGCAGTAAATAAGAACCCAGTTGCTAGTTGATTGGCGGATTGCTTTCCGTAGGTAATGATCCCTTCACAAAAATAACAACAATAATTTGTCACTCAATCCACAACTGTTTGTGGGACGCTGCTGTGCGTAATTGGCTGCCGCGTTTCACCCTAAAAATACAGTCAATTCACTTTACAGTATATTCTGTGAAGCACTTTGAGATGTCTCAACGGCGTGATAAGGCGCTTTATCAAATGCAACGATTATGATTATTATGTTTGTTTCTGACTGGCAACAGCGTTGCTGCAACTGAGCCTTGTTTTCCCTCTTCCCAGGTGACAGCCTTTCCCTCCAGTAGGAATATCCTGCAGCAGCTCCAGACCTCTGCCTCTGTTATTTACTTCTATCTGGTCGACCCGGTGCAGGGCAAACTAAACGGCTTCCACCTGCGCGAGGTAACTTGTCTGGTTTAAATCATTGACCTGTGTTCGTGGGGGTCAGTACTGTTCTGCCTGTTCTGTTAGTCAGGGTGTCAGTTGGGATATCACTTGTGACATTTGTTTCCTGCAGGACTTTGGAACCGAGGAGATTTGGGAGGTGGCGATTCCGACAGAGACTCAGAGAATAGTGACTGTCAAAGGGAAACGCTCCAACGAACATGTGCACTCACAGGGCCGTGTCATGGGGGATCGCAGTGTCCTGTACAAGGTACAGCGGGGAGCGGGTGGGTGGGAGGGGAGCGGGGGTTGGCAAGTGTGTATGTGTTGGGGTATGATATAAGGGATTACAGAGGTGAAATATAACTGGATTTAACCTTGTGATTGATGGCTGATCTTCACTGGTTTACCAGCTCTCGGTGGCCAGCTTCTGTGTCGTTTCTCATGGCTGACTCTGCTCTCTGTAGTATCTGAACCCCAATCTGCTGGCAGTCATCACAGAGAGCACCGACACGCACCAGGAACGAGCCTTCATCTGCATCTACCTCATTGATGGCCGTGACCGGGCGCATCATCCACCAGTCTGTGCAGCGCAAAGCAAGAGGTCCTGTGTACGTGGTGCACTCCGAGAATTGGCTGGTGGTAAGATTGAGGGGGTTGGGGGGTCCCAGGGCAAAGTGGGGGAGAAAGTTGGCGGAGGAGGGGGGTGGGTTGTGTTCGGCAGGGTCTGAATTCAGAGTATAATGGCTCACTTTCTGAGTCACGATCGTACTTCTATCACAATGCCTTATTGATGCTGAGCAGCTTTGGGGGATTATTAATGTCACTCACCCAGATGTCCCAACCCTCTGATTCGTCTCTGCCAGGATAAGACTGAAGAAACACTTGCGATTGACGCATTATCCACTTTGTAGCAATTTTCCCCATGAACTGATCACCCTTTCCACAGGCCTGAGGAACCCAATAACTGAACAGTGTTTCCCAGCGGTGCAAGTGGATGCGTATAAATGCCAGGGAGTTGGAGAGACAGATAGAATCATAGAATATTACAGCACAGAAGGAGGCCATTCAGCCCAACATGCCTGTGCCAGCTTTTTGCAGAGCTACCCAATCAGTCCCACTCCCTCGCTCTTTCCACATACCCCTGCAATTTTTTCCTTCTCAAGTACCTTCAAGATTCTCTGTTATTTAACCCTAACTGTTCCATTCTGTGCTGACAGTACCAGTACTGGAATACCAAGTCCCGAAGGAACGAGATGACAGTGTTGGAACTGTACGAGGGGACCGAGCAGTACAACAGCACAGCCTTCAGCTCACTGGACCGGCCACTCTCCCCCATCATCTTCCAGCAATCTTACATCTTCCCCTCGGCCATCAACCTGGTGGAGGCCACTATCACAGAGAAAGGGATCACCAGCCGCCACCTGTTGAGTAGGTGACAGACTGATGGGACCCAGACCGAGGGAGGGGCCAGGGGGTGTGAAGGGAGGGGCTGTTTGGGAGTGGGGAGCCAGGGGTGTGTGGATGGAGGGGCTGGGTGGGAGAGAGGGGCCCTGTCTCTGTCTGTCCATGTGTCTCTCTCTCTCAGTCTCTCTCATTTTTTGCCTTCTCCCTGCAGTTGGGCTTCACTCTGGAGGAATCCTCTCCTTACCTAAAGCGTTTCTGGATCCTCGACGTCCAGAGGTTCCTTCTGAGCAAAGCCGGTGAGTTAAGAAATAAGACAGGGCTGTGGGTAGAGGCCTGAGGCTGAGGTGATGTTTAAGTGATTGTAGAACAAGATTACAGCAAATGCATGCTCGTGTTTCGCGTTGACATAGTTGTGAAACCTCTTTGAGAAATCTAGGAGCAGTTTTCCATAGTCCCATATGTTGTAACTTTTTCAGGGAGGAGAATCTAATTCCGTATGCTCCTGAACTGCCCATCCGATCGGAATGGTTCATCAACTACAATCAGTCTGTGTCACGAGTGAGGGGGATTCACACGGCACCCTCCGGCCTGGAGTCCACCTGCCTGGTTAGTATGGAACCAAATTCTCATAGCCAATCGCAGATGCCAACACCCATGGCTGCTGTAGCCCCATAGTAGTTAATGCACAATCTGATCTGTCTGAGGGAGGAAGGAGAGGGGGATCTCTGAATGACTGGTATCATAACGAAAAGCAAGTTTATCATAATATCCCTGGTTAATGCTCTGTTGCTGCTGCACATTTGATTAATGATTAGTAAACCTGGTTATGAGGTGTTCATCCAAGTGCTTTTTAATTGGGATTCACTGAATCAGCAAGCGGGTTGTTTATGCTCTCTATTGCCTCCCAGAGGCTCAGCAACAAGGAACCACTTTCTTCACTGGGTGGGGGTTTACAGCTGATCCTGGAAGCTGGGTGAAGAGTTGTCTGACCTGCATCTGGTGGCGAGGTGAACCGTGTGATCTGGTCAAGATGCGACAGTAGAAAATAACTCCAGAATAAGAATAAATTAAAAATAGTCACGGGAAAAGAAGGTGTGTGAATACTTTGGATGTGACCTGGATGCATTACCCCCAGCCTGATTTGAATCTCTCATGAATTCCTACCCTGGATGCTAGCGGCAGTTACCAAGCTGTTAGTTTCTATCCAGGTTTCAGAGTTTTACAGGAGGCGAGTTTCTGGCTGACACAATAACAAGTGAATGTTTGTTCCAGGTTGTCGCTTATGGTCTCGACATCTTCCAGACTCGTGTTTATCCCTCGAAGCAGTTTGATGTTCTGAAAGACGACTATGACTATGTGTTGATCAGCAGTGTTCTCTTCGGTCTGGTCTTTACCACCATGATCACCAAGCGGCTCGCCCAGGTTAAGCTCCTGAACAGGGCCTGGCGATAGCAGCTACTGGGACATGAAAGGGGGGAAGGGGAAAAAGAAACATTGTCCCATGGATTGAATGCGAAGATGGAGATGCAAAGGTTTTGGGGGACAAGCCAAGTAGCGAGACTGGAGTGTCAGCGCCGGGGCTCATTTGTTTTCTGCGGGTATTTATTTTGAAGACTGTCATGACTAGAAAGTGGACATTTTGATTAAATAAAATTGGCTTCAGGATTTTCACTGCAATCAGCAGTGGTCCCTCACACACATTGTTCAGAGCAAACACTTTTGTTTCTTTTTTTGGTTAGAAAGTTATTTTCCCATTTGAAATTGTAATGACGGATGTAGATAGAGCCACCCTTATGATTGACAGGAGGCCAAGTGGCTGCTAATGTGTTTAGCCTGGAAGCGGCGACTGCAAACTGGAGCCTTGCCTTTTAAATTGTAATTTTACTCCTAAAGTCTGTATCTGTCTTACCTGGGAATCCTACATCCAGGCATCCTGTTGCAGAGGATTCTTGTACCGAGACTTGCTTATGTGCGACACACCTGGGTTCAATTCCAGGCAGAGGGCGAAACCTTGGGCAAGTTTCCTTACTCCACACAGAGCCTAATAATAATCCCTCCAAAACAAAAACAATAATAAATTGGTCACTCAATCCACGACTGTTTGTGGGACATTGCTGTGCGCAATTGGCTGCCGCGTTTTGCCCACAAACATATGGTCAATTCACTTTACAGTCTATTCTGTGAAGCGCTTTGAGACGTTGAGAAGACGTGAAAAGCGCTGTATCAAATGCAAGGATTAATATATTATTATAAGTACTACAACTTGTGCCACTGATTGTGAAGTGAGCGTCTGGTCCTCTGCAATACCAGGTTACCTGGTCTGGGCTCGGCAGCCTCCTGAATTCCTAACTACAGCGGTTTCCATTCCAATAGCCAATGGGCTTTTACTTGTGTTCTTCTGCTGTCCTTCGCTGACCGTGTTTGTTACGATCGAAACTGATTGTGGACATAAAGCTGATTGTTCAATTTGCAGTTCTGAACAACCTTGTTTACGAGTTAATTTCACAGGTCACTGTGAGGTTTGTTCCTTTGTGGACACTTAAATCTACCCCAAATTTTAAATACAAAGCGAGTTCTAATAAATTTGTGAGAAAAGGGATGGTTAAGTTTTTTTTAGTTCCTGATTAATATGTTACTTAATTGCTGGAGAAATATATTTGGGATTTAGACTTTTATTTTAATGTGCAACTGATGAGATTGGTTTAACCTGGATTAAAGACAGATCTATGTGATTATCTAGGAGTCTAATTATGTGCCTGCGATTCGGGTTTATGAGCGGTAAGAGAATATGTTGAGTTGCTCTAAAAGTACATGTAGTGTCAACATGAGGGATATACAAATATTGCTGTGGGAGAAATGCAGTTGTGCTCTTACAGTTAGTAAATGTTACCTGGAAAATGACTGGAATTTGAGGATTTTTGATTTTAACCTCAGTGTCCCCAAACATTGCAAGTTCACAACAAAAACTGAACCACTGCATTAAACCTTTTAAATAGAAAACAATTTGTTTCCTGAGTTGTTATGTTTCTGAATACCACTGAATAAACAATTACTGTGACCCCCTTGAACTTTGTGTTTTATTCTGAGATTGTGTATGTAATGTCCTGTTCTGGCACAAAATAGGCAGAAATATCGAAATATTCTGTATGGAACAAGTTTTTTTTATTATTTGCTAAACTTCAGAACAGTGCGAGTTAGTCCCGCAATAGTTGGTAACTGCTTCCCTTAGTTGTATTAATTTGTGGCTAATGAGATATCCTTAACTCTGATTTGAAGCTTCACAATTAGGTACAAGAATATTTGTCGGATGCCCTGACCCTAAGTAGGACGGTGGTATATTAAAAAAAACAAGTCTGGAAAGGGATCCAAAACAAAGGGACACAACTTTTAAAAATTGATATAAAATTGTATATTTTTAAAGGAATTGTAAATTGATTGTAGGGAGTCACTGAGCCTTGGGGT